ACCTGTTTTCACTTGTACCCTGTGATAAGACGGGGGCAATGGACACAAGCTGGAGCACAGGAAGTTCCACCTCAACATGAGGAAGAACTTCTTTACTGTAAGGGTTCCAGAGCCCTGGAACAGGCTCCCCAGGGAGGTTGTGGAGTCTCCTACCCTGGAGACTTTTAAGACCCATCTGGATGCGTTCCTGTGTGACCTGCCCTAGAGCAGATGGTCCTGCTCTGGCAGGGGGGTTGGACGTGATGATCTCTGGAGGTCCCTTCCAACCCCTAACATTCTGTGATTCTGTGATATGACATAGAGGTTTGAGAAGACAGCTACCAAAAAAGGGACAGATTTCTCATTGTCATGACAAAGTGGAATCTGCATTATATTAACTGCAGTGTGTGACTTCTTTTCTTTCTTCCCTCTCCCTAGTATAACGCCGATAAAGCAATAGTAGACAGTGGAACCACACTGCTCCGTCTGCCCCAGAAAGTCTTCAGTGCTGTTGTGCAAGCAATAGCTCGCACATCCTTGGTAAGATAATGCCCTTACATCTGCTCAGAATAGTAAATTCCTATTAAATGATCACACAGTCTTTGCAAAAAGTGTTGTCTTTGCTGTCTACCTCGCAAGTCATAGGGTTTTAACCTGAAAGGAGCAGAATTTCTCCTGATCTGCTCCTGTTAATAAGTGAGAAATGACTGACAGTCTTTGATAGAAGTGGAAAAGAGAAAAGAAAAGGGGGAAAGGAAGGAGGGAGAATAATGGGGTGTCCAACTATGGACAAGAAATATGTGAATGGAAATTCATCAGGAATATTTTGTTGTAAGCATTTCAGAAACGTGGACGTAATCCCTGTTGCTCTGATTCAAAGTATTAAGAGTACAAAAATCAGGCCTTTCTTTTAAAACAGTGTCTATAAAGTAGAAGAACCTGCTACTGCAAGCAGTTCTTTTCCAAGTATAATGCTTATTGTTGTATAGAATGGATGTCATTCATTAGGATTATTCATATCAATAAAGCTTCTTTTGACCTTCATTATTGAATTATTTATGTCTTAAAATGTCTTTCTTTGGAAATACAGTGGGCTTTAGAAGTAGGGCATGGGGATGGTGAATTCCTCTGAGTACAGAGTAACTGAAGCAGCATTTTCTGGTTAATAAAAACTGTTCATATTTGGATGAATACAATGAACAGTGCCAAGAAGGATAAAGATAAACAATAAATCTCAGATATTTCAATGTGAACAATTTTAATACTTTTGTCATGGATTCACAATCAAACAGCAGCAGACATTGCAAGTCACAGGAAATGCAGTAACTGGACTATTGGCCAGCTGACCAAAGGACAGAGTATTTGCCTATATGCTGATAATTCAAGACTGAGGTCTTTTTCCTACCTGATTGAGAGCTGAGATTTGCCATGAAGTGTTCTTCACTGCCTGCAGGTGTCCAGTATCTGAACTAAATGTACTGGTTACCTTACATAGCACAGCTTCCCTGGTTGAAAAGTTCTTCCCTTTGCAAAGCACTTAAGTGTTGACTGGAACAATTTCAGTTGATGAGGTGGGAATTGAAGAAGCCTACTCAAGAGCTCTTGTAATGACACCTTGTGGCTAGGGCATCCTTCTGTGAAGTGGGTCACAGCAATCCACACTCCACTGATGTTGGTCAGGACATTTGAACTACGTCCTTCATCATGACCAATAAATAGTTAACTGATCAGTAAGGTATTAGAGGACTCTTCACAGTCATCCCTTGCTGCAATGTGGTGTCCCTCCCATGGGAGACAGTCCTCCCCAAACATCTCCAGCCACCATGGGGGTCCTCTGCAGGCTGAAGTCCTCCCAGCAGTGGACTGCTCCAGAGCAGGCTTCCTTTGGAGTTACAGCCTTCTTTGGGTGCAGGTGCCTGCTCCAGCCTGGAGTCCTCCACTGACTGCAGGCAGGATTCTGCTCCACAGTTAACCTCCATGGGCTTCAGGGGCTCAGCCTGCTGTCTCACCACAGTCTTCAGGGGAGTCTCTGCTCTGGCACACTCCTCCCACTCTCCTTCCTCACTGGCCTTGGTATCTATCTGCATAGTTGTTTCTCTCACACCCGCTCCTCTCCAAAACAAGAAAACTCACTCAACAGGTTTTTCCCCTCTCAAATATGTTGTCATAAAGGCAATTCCATGTTGCTGATTGGTTTGGCCTTGGCCAGAGGCAGGTCTGACTTGGAGCTAGGGGACGTTCTCAAACCTTCTTACAGGAGCCATGCCAGTACCACCCTTCCCTGTTATCAAAACCTTGCCAGACAAAAAACCCAATGCACAAGTCATAATGGTTTATGGTATACCTCAGTTTGTGTGTTGGATTTTTGGTTTTCCTGAAGGAAAAAGATTTGTCAGATTTATGTTCATGATTGAATTTCTCCATGGGAATGCAAGTAGTATTGGAAGTGGTAGTGATCATTTATAAAAATCTATCAAAATGTATGTAATAGATATGTTTCACTTTTTTTTTTTTTTTTTTAATAGATACAAGAATTCTCTTCTGGTTTCTGGACTGGTTCACAACTTGCATGCTGGGATAAAACTGAAAGACCCTGGTCCTTATTTCCCAAACTCTCCATTTACCTGAGAGATGAAAACTCCAGTAGGTCGTTTCGGATCACTATCCTACCACAGGTCTCAACCTTCTTTCTTTATTCAGTTATGCATTTATTTTTTTCTATTATAAAGCATATGCTCTTAAATGTGAGCTATACTTAGCAGTAATAAAGAACAGGCTTACTGCATGCAAGGGAAATCTTTTTAAATGAAATTTTTAAAATCTAATACTAAATAAGGAAAATAAAGTTGTCAAACCTAAAATTCAGTTTCTTTCTGAGTGCAGTCCATGTAGTTTGGAATGATTTTTTAAACTTGTCAGGAATAATAGGCAACATTTCGTTTTGTTTACGAGCTTTAGCCACATGAGATGTCAATACAAAATGTCTCCACTCATTCTGATCGTCTCATTTTGGGAAGCAAACTGATTTGGGTTTCTTGGCATTCTGAGTTGGAGCACTTCTGAATATGACAGTCTTAGCAGTGAGCCCATGTAATCTCTTCACCAGCTTCTGTAACTTGGTTGGTTTATCTGTTAATATTCCATCCCAGCTTTTAGAATATAATGCACCACTTTTATTTTTCTTCTCTGGCTTCCCCTCCCAGTATAGGTTGCAATACAGGCTAGTATCCTCTAACATTACTAATACAATCTTTTTACCTCAGGGGGTGGTCAGGAGCAAAGGGGAGAATGAACCTATTAAGTACATTTTAACTTCAAATCCAGTAAAGCCTTATGATAAGCTTTTTCTGTATTGATCATGTAGCTTAGCAATGTTTCATCTTCCCCAAGGAGACAAGGGGTAAAATGTGACTTGAATTTATGAGTCTAGAGCCTTGAAGCTGACAGTGAATGCTCTATCAATAAATTCCATCCTGATAATTTTTAAGTAATGAAATTATTCTTTAGTTTGAGTTCATATCCCAAGTTCTTTCTCAACTACCCTTCCCTTATGGAAAATACAATAAAAAGTGGCTTTCATTAATTTGCTATTGGCCTTCATATAGTGACTGACAGTGTTCAAACTTAAGTTTAAAACGCAAGAGCTTTACCTCTTACCTGCATGTAAGCTTTGACCAGGTTTAAGACATGTACAGAAATCTGTTTGTCCCTATTCATTTATTTCCAGTGGAGTTCGAACGCTTCAATATATAATCAATAGGTCTGAGCTTCTAAGTACTGTGTGGTGTTGCTTCTTACACCCTGTTTTTTTTTTTGGTTGGTTCTTTTAATAGCTTTATATTCAACCCATCCTTGGAATAGGAGAGAATTTACAATGCTACCGATTCGGCATCTCGTCCTCCACGAATGCTTTAGTTATTGGTGCTACAGTCATGGAAGGCTTCTATGTAATATTTGACAGAGCCCAGAGGAGAGTGGGTTTTGCAGTGAGTCCATGTGCAGGTAAGAGAAATATTACTCGGGACTCGGGACTCAGTGAGGAACCACCTGCTTTCTCAGAGAAACACCTTCAGCAGTTACCAGAAGTGCAGTTACTCATGAAGTGTGAAGGAGTTTGGTTTGGTTTGGTTGAGCATTCTCAGGCTATTCAGATTTCAAGGGGAGGGGAAAAAAAAAAAGCTGTATTGCACAAAGCAATCTTTCAGGCTCAGCTCTGGGTATCATAGCTGCATTCTTCCCTCTGAGAGAAGATCCTTCTGAGACATCTTCCTGTGTGTGCAATTTCCCCCACAGTTACAGGACATGAGTCCCTGTTTTTAATGCAGCTTCATTTTTGTGTAGTTCCTGTTGTAATTTGCAGGTAAATGTATTCTTCAACTAATTTTTGTAATGTGCAGTGAAATACCTTGCTCTCACATTTCTCTTGATGTAAATAGTGCATTTTCAACCTTTCAGAAATACTCAAAGAAAGAGCTAAGATGAAAATAGGACTCAAATTAAGACTTGTGATGTTTGTGTTGGTTCTAAACAAATAGTGTTCTCAGTCTAAGTAGAAATACATTAATTTTTTTAATTAGCTGCTGAGAAAACCTGAAACAGCTTGTAATTTTTGGCTGATTTTACAATGCTGGTTAACTTTTATCTTTTCATTATTTCTCTTACCTCACCACGGGTATCTAAAAATAAAGTTTTGGGGTTTCCTCTCCTTGCTGATTGAGAAGTCGCTTTGGCACCACGAGAACATACCAGTGGGAGAGAGGAGAGGATGTGCATCCATGTGCAAGGCTCTGTCCCAAACAGACTGACATGTGGTCAGCAGGGGATGAGACCCAGCTGGGGCTCGTAAGAACTGCTTTGACAGTGTGTCTTTGTTGAGAAAAAGAGTCAGAGAACCATAATAACACCTTAATGTTAATATTGCTACATAGAAGCAAAGAGTTTGGGCACTTCATGTAGTTCTTCCACCCTTGTGTAGAAAAGAACTGAGGTTGCTGAATAGAAATGTAATCTGAATTTACATGAGCTTGGACACATGACGATACCTAGCTGATGCTAGAAGGCATTCCCTCCTTGTTTCTTTGTCCATGTTTCATGCATATGTCTAACCCAGTGTCATGGGAACTTAGCTTCTTGAGAAATCAGATGGCACAAGCCACTGACTGAGACAAGATATGCTGATTTGTCAGACTCTACTCACATGGGTCAGATGACATTTTGCTGGATGTGCCAGTTATTCTGAATTCACCTCTTCACAGCTTGTGGTTTCCATATTTAACACTACTTTCATCAGAGAACCACAACTGTGAGTGGTTAGCAGTCTGTGCAGTGTGAGGGATTAAACTGCCTGACTGACTTCCTGTGGAGGCCAGCCACGTCCTCCATAGCAACTATATTAATGTAATTTATTTGGACCTTTTTAGTCTGTTCGTGGTCATAAATTAAATAGAATTACTGGTGGCATAGATCTTCAGAAACAGAAATATAAAACACTGTTGGGTGTGGCTTTGCAGTTAGAATGTTAACACTAAATTTAAGCCCATGTTTTTATTTGGTGTTAAACAAGTAGGTACTGAATACAAAAATGAGGTGAACACAACTAAAAGCCTTAACTTTATTGAACTCCCAAGTTTGTATTAAGATTTGGCTACAGATGAGAACTGGCTTATCCCACAGTATTCCTTGCACCATTTTCATTCTCCAGGATGTACCAAGAGAGAGGAGAGATAGATGGCTGCAGGAAGCTATTCCATTGTAGCAGGAAAAGAAATTTGCTTTTTCCTCAATATGTGAAACCCTTTAAGACTCACTCTGCTTGTTAACTAATTTCAAATTGTTTCAAGTTGTCTGTTGACAATTTCAGGGATAACCAGCTGTTTACAGGGTGACTAGAAAAGGTATTTGGATCAGGTCCCCTCTTGAGAAAAGATGCACAGATCAGCTAGTTAGTATCAGTGAAGCAACCTAATGGTACCTTGACACTGAGCAGAATTAAACCCCTAGTATTTTTGGGGTAAGTGAAATGATGATAGGAGCAAGACTTGGGTATTTTTTAGGGGAGAAATGCATCAAGGACTGTAATCATAAATGATTTCTACACTGAACTGTAACGAGAGAGAACACACTGAGTTTTCTGGGCACTAAACACAGAAGAATAGATGGCATGATGAATAGCAGAGCTTCAGTCCAGAAGGACCTGGGTAACCTGGAAGACTGAAGAACAGAAATCTCAGGAGTTTCAGTGAAGAGAAGTGCAAAGTTCTGCACCTCAAGCAGAAAACCATCATGAATGTACAGTATGGGAAGGGACTGGCTGAATAGCAACCCTGTGGAAAAAAAAAAAAAAAATTGAGATTATGGTAGACCCCAAGCTGAATACAAGCCAAGGGTGAGTGCAAGTGAAACTATGCAACAAAGGGCAGCATCCAGCAGTTACATTCAGGAAAGTTCAAGTCAGATGGAAGAATTTCTTCTTCACATAGAGGGTGGTACAGCACAGAAAGAATCTGCCCAGAGAGATCATAGGGTCTCCATTCTCAGGGTTTTACAAGACCTGGCTGGATAAAGTTGCAGCTAACCTGATCTGTTGATGGTGACAGTCCTGCTCTGAGTAGGAGACTGGACTAGGTGACTTCCAGGGGCAGCACTTTACAATTTTATGATAAATTTGATCTAACCGGTTTTGCTTCCTCTCCAGACCACCCAAGCTGGTGAGTGAGAGTGTGTGTGAGTTCTACACCAATGTTACAAAATAGCATTTTCCCAGAAGTGCCATTTTTGTTCTGTAATCATCATTAATGAATGAAATCCTGTTTATTCAAGGTCAAGAATTTATTGTAGCTACCACCAGACATTCTAATAAAAATATGCCAAAATATTCTAATTCAGCTAATGTGTAATACGTTAAGTGTGTGTGACTGTTAGTTTATGTAAAGGGCTTGTTTGAACAACTTAGGCAAATTTCCCCTCTTTTGATTTCCTCTCAGTTTCTCTAGGGGTGAAAGAGAGTGAGGGACATTTCTTTTTGAAGGGAAGAAAGCAGAGGCTGTGCTGCTATCAACCATTCTCAAAATGTAATTTAAAATGTCAGCCACTATGGCAACAGTTATGTGTTGCCTTTTTTTAATAGGAGTAATTATTATACTCAAGCCAAAGAATGAATAATTAGGGACTATTTATTTTCAAAGCTATCTCCAAGGTGCAAAATTGTGCTGCTTTTTCTTTTTTTTTCCCCCACTTCTTTAAAATGCTAAATACGTAAGTTGTAATACTTGTGCCTTGCCTTTCACATAAGTGCTAAATGTGGTTTAGTTTGGTTTTGCTGCAGGACTTCATAGATACAAATGAGATGGCATGAGGGGGTGAGATGGCCAAAAGAAATAGTTACAAAATAGACAAAGTTCAATACTGAGACTCTGTAGAAAACTGACTCTGCCACAGGCCTTATAGATAGTCTTATAAATCTGCTTACTACTGAGCAGCTGCCTGACCATATCTATGTAACAGCAGTGCCTTGGCAGAGATACGCTGATGATGCAGGCTGCACAGGCCAGTTTATTACCATCTGATGAGTTGAGAGGGTACGTTTGGTATTCACTGGTGTTAGGGTGCTTGTGAGTGCAGCCTCAGGCTTCACCCAGTACACTATCAGCATATTGCTGCCAAAGGAGTCTTCCTACACTTGCAGCTGGAGAAGCAACTGGTTCCATCGAGTCATCCTACAGAAAATTCCTTGTTTGGGTGTTTTCTTTGTTATGATCAGCTGGTTTTCCATCAGACCAGCAAGTTGCCCTGACTCTCCTTGCAGCCTACCAGTCACTAGCACTAATACAAAACAGGCAGTGAGGGATAGGAATGAGGGCAAGCAGGACTGTCTCTGTCAGTAGCAGCTCATTATTAAGTTGAATTAAGTCTAATGAGACTTAAGCCTTAAAATAATATGATCTTTTGGGAGGCTATGGACTGAATACCAATTAAAATCTCTCCCAGTAAGTTTCAGGTAACACAGCCCACCTATTCTGCATTTGTTTCTCCACAACGAAGCTTAAAGGCCACCTTCCTGCCTTTCCAAAACCCAGGCTCTCTCTCCTCTTCCTTCCAAAGGGTGTTTTGTGCTAATCACTTTAAATGCACTTTCAGGAGTTATGTATAAGATATATGCAAGTAAGAGATACTGTTTTCAGTAGGCAGGATCACTTAAGAGATTGGCAAGTGTGTGTCTGTATATAAAATGAATACAAAATTAGGCAGGAAGGATAAAATTGAGGCCTTTGTAAGAAATACATGTGTCTTGAGGTATCTGACTAGAGAAGTGACTAACAACTTTTTGGAAGACATGTTAAAATGCACAGACAGAACTAACTGCAGGCTCCTGGTTGCCCCAAGCAAGCTAAAAGGTATCCATACTTCCCCTGACACCTGCAGGTGCAAAATTCTCTGAATATTTTGTTGCCCTAGGCAACTCACTGGCTCTCCCTTTACAATACCTGTAGCTCTGTCCACAACTCAGGGGAACTTTGCTACGTTTGCCGTGGTTACTGTGACAACCATGGGCAGAATAACCCCTTTTAGCAAACACTGGTTTAACAAGTAGGGGTTTGTGATGGTAATGAGACAAGTCACACAGTCTGTGATGTTACCAGGGTGAATGGCTGTTTGAAAATGGAGCTAGCAAAACACCCCTTTAATGCTTCTTGCTGTAGCTTTGTCTTCTCCATTTTCTTGAGCCGCTTGTTTAGCTTCTCCCTCCCTGCCCAACAGCACTGCTCCTTCATTGCCCATCTTCTCACTCCTGACATTGACCTTCCTTTCCACCATTACCCTTTCTTGAACAGCTGTTGCCCACCCCTCCTGCCACACTCCCCCTTCCTTCTGAATTTTCACCTCCACTCATGAGAGTATCTGTGCTACTTTCCACCCTGCACCCTGTGTTTAGGATACAGTCCCTTAAGATATCTGTGAAGCTAATGCACCTGAATGCTGCTCCCTAAGACCCTGGAAGGTAGCAAACACAGATGATACAAGAGTCATCTGAGGTACTCTTCCAGTTGTTGTGAATGCCAGAAACAAACAAAAACTGCCCAGGCCCTGACCTACTGCAGTGTAGGTGGTATAGGATTTTTAAGCTTTGTTGAATTGGCATTTCTGAAAGGTTAATTCAGAGAGAAAAGGTGATCCAGTGGCTTGGGCTTTAACTTAGGCTGTGGGAGACCTGATTTAAATGTCTGTTCTTTCATTGACAGCCTGTGTAGATGTGGGAGTATCATGGTCTCCTTATGCTTCAGATTCCCATTTTATAAATATGAGATACTAGCATTTTTATTGCAATGAGAAATACAGTGAAATATGAGTATGCCAAGATGTATGATGAGGGTGTAAAAGGATATACAGGTATTTAGGCTAGATCTTTTGTTACTTGCTTTTAAATGATGTCTACAGACTTAACATTTTTCTTTTTGTAATTTCTCAGAAGTTGATGGTTCTCCAGTATCTGAGATTGAAGGCCCTTTCACAACAGCAGATGTTGCAAGCAACTGTGTTTCTAGCATTTCTTTCCATGAACCAGTGTTGTGGATTGCCTCCTATGCTCTCATGAGCCTGTGTGGAATCATCCTCCTTGTACTGATCATCCTGCTCCTTATTCCACCACGGTGTCAGCATCGCTACACTGACAACGATGTGGTCAACGACGAATCCTCCTTAGTGCGTCATCGATGGAAATGAGAAACTGGATCGTGAAACCTGGGACTTAAACACAATGAAGAACAAAGTACTTTGCCAAGGGGAAGAAGCCAATGCCTCAGTCCTTTCTACATTCATTAGAAATTGCTGTTGAAATCCCACCAAATGTCCTTTATCATAACTTTTTAAGCTTTATTTTCTAACACTGATTCTGAACCAAAGCACTGTTAACCACCTCTTAAGTGCTACGGTACTGGACTTGCTACTGCAGTACAATGAGCCCTTATGCTCTGAATAGTACCTTCTTTAAAAAAAAAAAAAAAAAAAGAGAGAGAGAAAACCACACCATGATGTTCTTCCACTGTCTAAAAAAAAATTGTCCATCCCTCTTTCACAAAAAAAAAAAAGAGCTGTCAGTATTTTCTAACTTATCAAGCCCTGACTGTAGAAAAAGAGAAAAAAACTTAATGACCTTTCTTATTAATCACATTAAATGAATAGTGCTTTCTGTTTACATCAATTCATTTTGAAACTGTGCTTATGATGTGGGGGAGGGAGAAAAGTCAGACTTAAGCAGCAGAGAAAAGCAAGTGAGGTCAAACAGAAATGTTGATTTGGGGTTTTTTTTCCTCAAGGTCACTGCTGCCACTTGAGAGGGTTGCCCTTCCTGAGTGTCATTACAAAATAATAGTTTGAGGAGGTGAAACCTGGAAAATGAACTTGTTCAGCCTTAGTGTAAAACAAGACTACCTCTCTTAATTTATAAGGATGCTACCACTTGTAAGCATGTGGCTTAGAACTGATCTTGAAGCACAAGATACTCTATACAACCAAATGCAACTCCTTGGCTTTGAAGTAGTGTGTTTTATAAAAATTGATACTTCAAGACTTTTCCACTTTGGTGCACCAAAAAAATGCCTTTCAGTTTTTCCCCTTAATGTGGGGGTTTCTGGGATTCGGTTTTTTTGAGTTGAGGATAACTGATATTTAGAAAACTCTGGTCTGCATATGCATGGACAGATGATAAAGTTAAGGCCTGTGTTCTGCCACGTCTTTTGGTATTTCTGGTGAGCATATAGCAAAAAGGAAACAACAAAATAAGAAAGACAACTTCTTTTGTGTGTGTGCGCGCGTGGTTTTTGTTTTGTTTTGTTTTTTATTTCTTTTTCCTGAGCTCAGCAACCTAGAAGTTCAAGGGAAAAGTGTCTGTCTTCATGGACAGACTGTGCAGTGAAAGTCTTAATGCTGGCTTGTTTTTCAACTTGAACAGCAGTTGGAGGTCTTTAGTTTAGCTTCACTGGTGTGTTGATCATATAAAAGGTGCGTATACTGACTGGCTGAAAACAAATGTGGTGAGACTGAAAACAATAGTGGGAGAGAGCAGGAAAGGACATATTTGACCAGACCTTCATTGTGCAAGCACAAATCTTAATGCTGAGGTCTGACCATGGTATTTTTTTGGCAGATAGGACAATTTTTCTTGAACCTAGTCAGTGAGCAATGCAGGACCTCCATCACTTTTCTATACCACTGATGCAGTGGGTTTAAAAGATAAACAATGCAAGGTTGAGGAACCCAGTGATAACTATTAGTTATCTATTTTGGCGGGTGGGTTTTTGTTGGTCTTTTTTTTAAAGGCAAAATATTTCCTTTGCTTTTTGATAGCAGAACAGTTTGCATATCTGTGTGGGAAATGAGAAGGAAAAAAACCAAGGAAGCTTAGTTCTGAATCTCCCAATCCCTTGCCTAGAAGATTTTTCTGCCTGTAATCCCTTCATATAGCTTTCTGGTTCACACTGCTTCTGCTTCTGACTTTGCATGGAATAAGCAAAGATTTCTTTTTTTCAAGAATGGTGCTTTTACAGAGGTGCACATGATATGTGTGAAAATAAAGCACTGTTGTGCATTTTTTAAACTAACTTCTGTTTTCATTTCATAACTGGAAGTGCCTACACTTTTCTGTCCTTTTTAATTCTTGCACTTTCAGATTATTTGACTGAATAGAGTGAAATACTTGGTGTTGTGATCCAATGTCTGAAAATTATTTCCCTTGGAATTAGGATTTGGAAATAGGAAGAAACTTTAAGCTTACCTCCTTCTTCCTCTGCTTCTTCATTTTTAAGAGGAGAAGAATGATTAATTATAAGGAATGTATGAAACTATATGGCTTAGATGTTTTGTCCATATTCAATGTTCAGTACAGCTCTTCTTAATGGCTTATAATTAGAATTTTTAGTAGACATTATAGCAAGAAGAAGTTCCCTTGAGTTTTTCTTAAAGCAATAGACTTTGCTCTGAAAAGACAGAGTGATGTTTCCAATTCTGTAATTCAATTCCATATTGTCCTCCTGGGTTTAGGTTTACACAAAAGAAATAATTTGAAAGTTGTATTTCTTCTTTTACAGCGTGGTAATATAAGTACTGTTTCTGTCAGCTGTTTCAAACAGAAACAGTGTGAATGCTTGGATTGATACAGTGGTAAACAATGAACACTTTTTCAATTCAGAAAGTAATAACACCTGTGTGCTCTTAAAGTGTTTCTTAGCTCCTTCCCTCTCCCCAACTCCTCCTATTTCCTTACCACAAAGAGTTTTAGGAAGGAATTTACCAGGAGAGTTTCTTAGTATGCTTTCTCACGACAAGCAAGATTTCTTCTGAGTTGTTTAATGAAACATTTTTAATGTGCTTGATTTCATATAAAAGCCTTTCAGTTTTATCCTTTCACTTTGAATGTCATTGGTCAAGACATTTTAATAGAAACACTTGAATTATAGGAGCAATAATCAAGTAGAACAAATGAAATACTAATATATTCTTTGGTTTCATGATGCCTTTGCCACTAAAATTTGGCTTATAGTAAAAATGTTGTTAGTGACATCTAACAGCACAAACTTCATCTCAGCTTGTAAATTGATACTTATACTGGCAGATATTCAGGTGAGTATTGCTTTGTTGCTTTGGCAACAAGAAGAGCAATAGAAACCCTTGAAAGATCATCTTTAGCCTACACCACATTAAGAAAAATAATGCTTTTGAGCATTTATCTGAGAAAGATGGAATACAGTGACAGACTGCAGTGTTTACCAAGTGTGTCTTGTTGGTGATCTCTTTTGCTGATTTTTTTTTTTTTTTTTTTTTTAAAGGACGGTGCTGTGAAGTATGTTATGATCCTGTTAACTAACTTCAGAGATAGGATGAAATCATACCAAAAAAAAAAGCGGGGGGGGGGAATAAACAAAGCTTATGAGTAAATATGGTGCTGGAAAATATTCTCTATTTATTATGGGAGACAGGATGCTCCAAATCGTTCCTTGTATATGTATCAGTATTTCTTGAAGAACCAGCATTCTCCTAATGTGAATGTAGTATCATGTACCATGAAAATGTCAGAAAGCCATGTTTCATTGGATGCAGCCTTTTAGATAATTGAAGCTATCAGTGTAATGATTAGTGAGTTGAAGATGTGTGATTTGAGTTCGAGTAGTTAAACCTGAGTTCAGGCATGGGAGTATGTTAGTTCTAGCCCACTTCCTTCACAAGTTTTAGAAATGTTATCATGGGCTTTTTGGCTCAATTTAAATGCTTAAAAAAAATAGATGAATAATTTTAATAAGCCTTTTTCTCAAGTTCTGTGAAAGAAGTTAGGTAGAAGGGATTGTTATTTTTTTAAGGTGAAGAGCTTGTGTTTTGGATTTGTATCTTGGATCAACCTAAATGCAATATATTAAAGCACAGTACCATCCCAGTTCTCACCTTTGGTGCTGTGCCTGTTAACTAGTGGTTACACAGCTATTTGTTTTGGTATCTCTTATTAATAATTAAATATCTCTAATTAATCTCTTATTCTTAACGACAGTTAACTCTCTGAAGTCAACCTTTAGGTATTCTATCCAGTTACTGGCTGTTTTATCATCTGGCTATGTTTCACTAAAGAATACTGTATACTAACCTTTTCCTTTAAATATGACAAGGCTAATGAGATTTGCTTAACACAGCATGTTTTCAAAGACAGAGTGGTCCTCAAATTTTCTGAAAATGCAGAATGATTGTGCGGCTGAAAGCTTCCTCGATTTCTCTAGAGGTTTCCAACAACTAAGTTGGTGGGTTGTCATATCCTGATCTCACACATCAGCTTCATAAGTGGTAATAGGACCTATGGATGCGGAAGTAAAGGAAATTATGGAAAGATAAAAAAGTAATCTACACTTCACTTTATTAAAAATCTTAAGAGAATAACAGATTGATCCTTTTAAGAAGGATCTGTACAATTTGCCAAGACATTAGTTCCTGTCAAACTTGACTCTCTGATTGATAAATGTCTGGCTAATGAAGTTACTGCTGCTGTTCAGAGAACTGAAGACAGGTTGGTAATGGGATATGAGCAATCTTCTGAGCCAGTCACATTTTCTGGCTTCTGGGGCCTGACTAGACTTCAGGCCTGGCTGGTGAGTAATCCAAAATCCTGGTAATGATTCCTCAGGAACATTACCTGAAATATAATTGTTGATTTCAGCCAAACCCCTGGATCAGATGGATCCATACAGCGAAAGCCACTGTGATGACTTGCACTAACTGGCAGAGGGGCTAAAGTGAGTTGGAGCTGGCTGGTTTTGTGGAATGTGGAGATGCTAAATAACTGAGTCTTCTACAAGGCTTCCAGATCAAGGCTGAGGCTCCTTGGTAGAGCCAAACAGGAGAGCAACTGCAGTTGATGACAAGTAATCAAATGTAAGTGTAACATCAGGCAGGCACCTGGCTTCTTCGGTAGAGGTTCACTTGTCCGAACATTTTGAAAGCCAGTGTACTAGGTGCTATTGGGAATTATCCACTCACAAGTGAATAAGGGGCACAATCATCTTTGAGTAGAATCATTAGCCAGTTACTGAATATTCCCCTGTCCATATAACAAAGCTTATAACGGTATGTCTCACCCCTAGCAATAGTCTATTTGTAAACAACAAAACAGGTTATTTTAAAACATGTTGACATCAGTGACTGTACAGTAGTAATATGTAAAATGCTTTATGTTTGCTTTTTTTTTTTTCTTTTCACTGTATCTAGGCTTTGGCTGGATCTTTTGTGGTCAGGTAGTTTTTAAAATACTGGGAAGTTTAGATTGCACTACAAAGGCAGGTACAGAATTTAAACTAGCCCAAAAGTAAAACACAGAAGGTAATTTTCAGCATTTAAAAGGAAATAGCCCTCAATAAGTGTTCTGTCTTTTTTTTTTTTAATTGATGATAAACACTTAAAATTTATTTTAGCATTGCTGCTGTCCTACTAATTCATGGGCTGTGAGTCTAATTTTTCTGA